AATAAATTGAATTGGCCGAGACATTGTGGAACAAAACTGTGGAATAGATTGAAATTATGCGGCCATACCGAACTGCTCAAGATATGAGTCTTGCGCTATGCTAAGAATTGAAAGTTGGCGATAACGGAGCCAAAAGTAATGAAAGTAATATACTTTGATTACAACTTTAATCTTTTACAACGATTTTGCTTTGCGTGTCGGCAAGGTTAGAACTGATGGCTGAAAAAGTGATAAATGACTTTGACAGTCAGTAATTTATTTCGTTTCGCTTTTCTTGAAATTAAAGTTGCAATAAAAAGGCGAAGAATTGTTTGCAAGCCAAAACGGTTCAACTAAGTATGCAGAACGAGCCAATTTCATGAATGTTAAATGGAACGCTGAAGGCGCTTGTCAGGTAATGGGCTTTCAGCTGCGGTTTTATTACGATTCTCCCTGGAATATGAATCTGTTTAAACTTGTTTGTTTTGTAACTATTAACTGTGGGGACCTTGAAAAGCGGGCGGCAAGCAGAAACAATGCACGATTTTATTCAGTGAATGTCAACCTCGCTGACAAACTGATCGGTTCTCAGTCTAAACTTGTTATTAAACTTATCTGTCGTCGTACAAGATCACCGATCATAACTCTTCATGCAAAATCTCTCAAGGCATCACGCTTGTTTAAAAAGAAAGGTGTAAATGTTTGCATTTTCTGAAAGACATTTAGTAGCGGCTTGAAGGGGGTCTTTCTCTTTCTTTATCTTAGTTTGTAATCGAATGATTGTTGTTAGTTGAATTATTAAAAGCAGTGTCACTAGGTGAGTATCAAGTTTGGCTTCAGACAAGAATGATGCATTTATCTTTATTTGGATGATGAATGATGGAGGTTACAAATTATGCCTGCTAAACTATTCATGTAAGCGCGTGTATTTATTAATTAATGTGTCTGCTTGTAGGGTAAAATGCAACTTCATATTTCCTGGATTCTGCTGGTGTCGAGCGCTTCTCTATCATCTGCTCAATTACCAAGCAACAATGACGACGAAGGTAACTAACAAACTGAGATTTGCTAAATTTTTATCTATAGGACTGTTACTCTGTGACAGAGATCAACACCTGGTCTTTAGTTAACTTAAGTTGCGTGCTGCCCGAGTTCAAGAGCGTTGCTAGGAAGTTAATCCATAAGAGAGTCTATGAAATGGTGAAACTACACAATTTAACTTAGGGATTCCAAAATTTTGATGGGGGCTGCCTTGTCGGAGTTATTCAAAGTCAGATATACTCTTAACGTTTGACCATCATATTTTCGGGCATTGTGTTAAAACACGCGATGCAAGATAGTTTCGTAGCCAGGAATATCGAGATGCATCTTGTTGTAGCGTCATTCAATTCAACGCTTGGACGGCTCACAACCATGGTACAAGATTTAGAGCGCTATTTTGCTGTGTTTATAAAACCTCAATTCCCGGGTTAACGAACTTTGCGTGAGATTCTTAGAGGTTGATGCAGCGCTCTGTGGGGGTCCTGTAGGAGCCGAAACTACTCTCTTGTCATAGAACATGCCGCTGCTCACGAAGGTGGGGAGAGGAGAAGCTTCACTTTCCGAGAGTCACTACTAATCTGACTAATTGGTTCCAGAACCCGTCAGTATAGAAGACTCATAGAACGCAGACTGCGGACTGCAGATTGGAAACAGCGGACCATGAATAAAATGCAGACTGCAGACCGTAGACTTTTTAACTGAATTGTGTTACCATTTCCATCATTGAGAGCTAACCGTAATCAGGTCAACTGGTGCGTTATTTACGATAACCTGAGTGATATTCAGGCTAATCGGAGTACTAGGGAAGACTTTCGCTTCGATTAGCCGAAATAATCCTGTTTACGGTCAGCACTCGATAATGGAAATAACATGACATATACAGACTTTTTTTTTATTTTTAAATTTTAAACAGTCTGTATTCTGCAACCTGGCTGTCAATCTGTATTTTTAAGTTGTCTGCGGTCTGCGTTTTACACTGGCCGGTTTCAGGAACGTTAAGTTTATCGACGTCAAAGGAGCTGTCAAGATCTTCTGGGTCATTTTTCTAAAGTTCAATACAATGATGAACATGAAAAGAAGTAAAATGAGCGCGATAAACTATGAGGAAGATCAAGGCGGACGACAAAAGAAAATGTTTTCAATATAAGCTGTCCGTCGAAAGATCCAAGCCTACTTGTGCTATAGTCAGTTTCATCATGAAAGTGCCCTGTTTCTTTGTAAGATGCCATGAACGTGGCAATGGTGCTATATGAATAAAATTATTATTGTCGTTATGTTATACTTGACACTGCTAACTACATTGATATAGCGCCAATCCACTAACTGTCCATGACGCTACCCTATAAAAATGAGTAGTAAATAGTTATGCCTGAATAAAAACGAATTTCATTTTAATTGTATGTTTGAATAGAGGAAGACTCCAGCCCCAGGACCATGCCAGACTTCTGGTTGTATGGAGACATTAAACTAACTGACCACCAAAAAGCTCTGCTCGATGTACCGGTCGGCGCGGATGACTTCGTACACCAGCGAAAACCGCCGGCCGCTACCCGAGAGAAAACCCTACTGTGGGAGGGAGGAGTCATTCCTTATGTGTTCGACTGCAGTATGAGTAAGTTAGCTCCTCAACGCGAACGCGTTTCACTTGGAAAAAGTTCCAAATAAGTTGTTATTATTTAAAAAAATTGAGCTGAACCCGATTCATTCAATATGGCCGCCATTTGTGAAATCGGGCTGAAAACACAGAAATTCATCAACCGACTGCGCATGTCCAGGTCGTGACAAATCCCCTTGAACAATTTCACAACGTACGTGAGTTTTTAAGAACCTTTCTCTCTGTGCGAATGTGATGGTAACAAAGGCCAATGATTTAAAGGGATAATATCATGGAGATTTGATCCTTTTTGGTCAAACAGTGGTGAAATTAATGCGGTACTTTCCTTTGCGCAATCACAGAAGATATGCTTACTAGTATTAGCTTTAATGACTTTCTCGAAGTCGTCCTCATGACTTGCTAAGATCACAGACATACTAGGAATTTGGGTCTTAAATATTAATGTTAATTTTCTCTCCATTTTTCTGTGATCGCGTTACTTTATTGCTCACTCTCTGCATGTTTTCCTGTTTTGCAGAAAATATGCCTGAACTTCAGAGTATTGTTCGACTGGCTATGGATGACTGGGAATCTAAAACGTGCCTCAAGTTCGTGGAAAGAACGAACGAAAAGGACTATGTCACTTTTTTCAGGGGATCTCAGTAAGAACTTTTTCTTTTTAGTGTTAAATTTTGTCTTCTTTTCATCTTTAAATATGTTATGTGTTTTATCATATCATGACAGCGCTATTTCTACAAAGTATAGAGGACCTCCCATGGGGAGGGGGTGGGGAGGGGGGATAGCATGTTCCGTTGATCTCTTTTCCTCGTTTGTGCCCTATCTATTTTTTGTCAAAGAGATATCACTCAAATTAATCTCGTTCCCTTGAAATATATGTTCATGTTCCGTTGTTCTTCAAACCCCTTGAAGACCCTCAGTATTTCTTTTTGCGAAGGAGCGTGCTATCCAGATATGTAAATTCTGAACGCGCGCTCTGAGACAAATTTGGCTAATTTTCATCTTTTGTTCATCAGTTGACAAATACACTTAAAAGTGGTTTGCTAAGAAAATTGCCTTTTCTCCTTGTGATAAAGATTTAGGGGATGCGCGCAAAAAAGCGATTTCTGTCTAAAGCTGCTGTTTCCTAGTTAATAGTATACAGGCAAACACTACAGCATGCTGATTGGAGGAGAGCACGTCAATTATTTTAATCCAAAATAAGCAGTGCGCAAAGTCGAAATTGAGTGCACAAAGTTGAAATTAAGAGCAAAAAGTTGACATTGAGTGTAGAAAGTTGAGATAAAATTGCATGTATATTATTAACAAGTAATCAAATGATTTTTTACGTGTAATTTGGGATGAATAAGACTACAAATTGCACTCGCCCTCGTGCAGTTTCCTTTAAATTTACTTGTCGTTATTCATTCCAATTTGCACTCGAAATCATTTGATTACCTATACCAACGGTCATCTCGAAATAACCTCCCCTATAAGAACAAAGGAACTAGCTACTCTTTCAAAAACCTCCCTTACCCCAAAGATGTATAACGCCATCCTCGGCACAATTCACTATCCAGCGTATCGGGTAGTTTGTTTTGTCAACATTTATCCTCTGCATAGCGCGTTATCCCGTGAATAGCGTTACTCTAAGGGCTAGAGTTTTAGTCGCAGTATCGCATGAGCTGAGCAGTATCCTTTTTACATTTCTCTATACTTCCCTAATTCCAGTTGTTACAGTACAGTGGGAAAAGCGCGGTATGAACGCAGGGAAGTATCTGTTGGATCCGGGTGTGAGTATCATCACGTGATGGTGCATGAGATAGGTCACGTGATTGGATTCTGGCACGAACAGAGCAGACCCGACAGAGAACAATACGTGAAGATAATTTGGAAAAACATCAACAGAGGTCAGTTAAAAAAATAATTAATTTTCAGTGCGTGACAGAAAAGAAACAACAAAACATTTTCCGGTGTCTCATTGTGTCTGTGTTTGTTGTTGTTGTTGTTGTTGTTGTTTGCTTGTTTGTTTCGTTTTTCTTTCTCTATGCAAGGACAGTTGCGCTCATAAACAAATTACAATCACTCGACGCCAATTTTCTTTTTTCTCTGTGTTTCTCCAGGTTGGGAGCACGCCTTTCTCAAACAAACATGGCAAGCCGTCGATTCTTTGAACACGCCGTACGATTATTCCAGCATCATGCATTACAAATTGAACGCCTTCTCTCGATCATCAAGAAAAAAAACAATAGTACCCCGAAAGAATGTTCGGGCCCGCCCCTATAGGAAGATTTCCAAGATTGACGCTCTTCAGGTCAAAAGGATGTACAATTGTGATGGTACGACCTTCCAAGCTTTTCTCTCTTAATTCTTTGTCAGCTGGATCCCTGGGTGACTACAGGAGGCGCGGTGACTGGACTCCAGATCGAGACGTCTGGGTTCGATTACAACCTCGTTCCAAGGGGCGGGAAGGAGAAGACCCTGGGAACGAGGTTGGGCTCGGTTTGAGCTCTGTCGGAGGTGCTTGTGCTGCTCAAGGCACTTTACACTCCTAGTTGTGCCCCTTCCAGTCCTTTTAGGCGGGAGAAGAAATGGGAGCGGGCAATTGAAAGGACAACTTGAAAAAATTCTGGGATAAACTACGATAGTCTTGAATCCCATCACCGGGAAATACCATTACTCCTTCATATTTCAAGTTGTTTAAGTCGAATTATCAATCTCAAACATGAGTTTTCAGTGGTGTTACTAGATGGAGGTGTGGCAAAAAAGACAAAGGCATTTTAATAGCTTCTAAAGAAAATAAAGGGATTCAGTAGTAAAGATTTTTTGTCTTTGATTTTCGAATGACATCCGCGATATTTTTCTCTAGGTAAGAATCGATCTTCTGCAAATACTTCGAATATCCAAGCAATTAAGCGTACAAGACGAGCCGTGACGAAATCTGAGACTGGGGGCTTGGTAACCATTAGAGGACCCAGTTCCCTTTCAGAAAAAGGTAAATAGATGTGACTATGGATTAGAGAGGGAGTTAATTATTTTTAAATGATTATAATCAAAGGCTGACACATGTTTTTCTATAATATCCTCAGTGGCGAGCAAAAAGAACCAAGATCCAAACTGCAAAGATTTGAGTAAGGCTTGTCCCTACTGGGCCAAGAAAGGTTTCTGTAAGACGCGTCGTGACTTTATGCTGAAGGACTGCAAACTAAGCTGTAACGCGTGTAACATAGGTAAGCTTTGTGTGACCAGGCGTGACACATCGCACAATGCAAAGGAAGTGAGAAATGATTTTTCTTATGATGTGAAGTAAATATGAAATAATTCATATTTGAACTGCGGTTGTAGATGAAAGTGAAGACTGATATCATCGCAGTAAATTTTCCAATTTAAGCAACCGGAAAGAAGAAGCCTGAAAAAATCAGAGCTTCAACGGGATTCGAACCCGTGACCTCCGNGACTTTTGTCAATGATTGTAGATTTTGGGTTCAGCGGTTAATTACGTGTACGATAAGAGTTTGAATATGATTCTGTCACTCTAGAAATAATGTTTTCTTTTCATCTTATATAATATTACCTGTGCAACCTTTTTTTTTCTCTTTTGACAGAAGCTGAGACTAAAAAAGTGTCTGTGGAAGAATGTGTAGATGCCAAGCACGCTTGCGCATTCTGGGCTAAAAGCGGCTTCTGTGAGAGTCGGCCAGACTTTATGCACGTCAAATGCAAGAAAAGCTGCCGTGTTTGTAGTAAGTTTTCTTGTATTTGGTTTCTGTTTTGCCCCTCTTCCGATAATGGCGGGGAGGGGGGGGGGGTGGGGGGAGCTTTTGAGGGTCTCGCCAACTTTAACTAAAGCAATGAACGCCAAAATTGGTGATTTTCCCTAAAATATCTGGGAACGATTTGGTATGACTGTCATTGCTCAAAGAATTTGATGTTTCCATGGCAACCAGACTTTGATAAGCATGTTTTTAAAAAAAATTTGAAGTTTCGTTTTTTAATGAATAAAAAAAACTTGATTGGAGTAACCTTTACTATTTTAGTTATTTTTAGCTATTATGAAATTCAAAATGGCGGAGTGTTAAAACCCTTGCCCCTTCTTTCTTCCTCATTTTCGCGCGAAGAGCACGGTGCACCGACGTAGTCTGTAGGAGTTAACATACAACTGATGTTAACAAACAAATTTTATCAATTGTTAGATGAAGACAGATGCATGGATCGCGATCCACGTTGTCGTGCTTGGGCGAGATGGAAATACTGCACTCACGAAAAATACAAGAATATCATGATGCAGGCGTGTAGGAGGAGTTGTGCGTTTTGCGTCGCTGGTAAGTTGCTGGTCTGACTAATTCAGAGGACAAATTCCCCTTGTGTTCTAGTGGTGTATTCGTCGGGAGGATTTCAAAATTAACTCTTAGTGGCTGCTTCTGGCTGTTCGAAAGTCCTTCAGCGGTACTTTCCCGGCTAGGTTTAACGAGTAGTGATAGTAACAAAAAAGGCTTTAAAGTCAATTATAAACAATTATTGGATGAGCTTTTTGTGCCATCCGGAATAATTAATCAAGGTCGAGGTAAGAGTTATCAGCCGAAGCCGAAGGCTGAGGCTGATTACCCTTACCGAGACCTTGATTATTCTGGATATCACAAAAACGGAATCTAATAATTGTTTTATTATACATTGAACAANGATGAGTTTGTTTTCATCATACTGATATGGTAAAGAATGTTTCACTGCCGATAACTCTCTCAATCTTCTCAATTTTTATTTCAGAAACCCACGATTGCAAGGACCGTGAAAAGTCTCGCTGCCCGAGGCTTAAAGAAGAAGGATACTGCGAGTCAACCAATCCTGATGAACGGTTGTCAATGAGAAATAATTGCGCTTTGACATGCAACTTCTGCAGTAAGCAACATTTTTTTAAGGAGGCTTGCTGTTTGCCTGGGAAAGGGGAACTCTCTGTTTTCTACTGGCGGGGTTGTTCCTGGACCTCACGGGTCGCTGAATTCGAAAATGGTGTTTTAGCACACTTTAGAGTGTTCCATTAAATTTGTAATCTCATAGTTACTACGTACTGCCAGTATATGTCATGGAAAGTAAGTTGCAAAATGCTGCCATTACCAGGAAATGACTAATTTATGTTCTTGGAACCACGCCCCAACAAATGGAATTTTAGGGATGTTGTTCAAAGTAGTGACGAAAATCTCTGTCACTTTATGTTAAAGTAGCCTGCCTCGTGCACTCTACCCCACCCTCTCCCCCTCACCCTTACAATTTCTTCTCCACTCGGTCTGAGTATTGGAAAGTGTGCGGTTCATTCATGCTAATTTATTTCCTGAATCTTTTTTCTAGGAAAAATTGAAAACGCCGTAGTTAAACAGAGGTTGTCTCCCTGTGTGAATACTTTCAAAGCCTGTCATGGCTGGTCCAGACTTGGTTACTGTTCTTCCAACAGTAAAGAACGTTTTATGCGCGAGTACTGCAGGAAAAGCTGTAACTTGTGTGCCTCCATTGATCCAGATTACTTAAGTACGTCATGTAGGCTCACATTTTGTGTCCATTCATATTCTTTGGAGTATTTATTTCGTACACAGGTGGTTAAGTACATAAACCGTATTTCTATCCAGGGTCTATGTCTGAGTAGTCGCGACCAATCTTTCTTTTTAACTTTCTTTTTTGCATTTCTACTTGACGTTTAACGTCGCGGCCCCGGCCAGGGTCATTGTGTTTGTGTTCTGTTGGTCAATACCCAGGACTCTCTATCCACCCGGGAGGATAAATGTCCCCAGCGAACAAGTAGGAACTCTGAAAGTGCCGACTGGTCATATGGAGTAATCTTTGTGAGACTAGCGTCCCATCTAAGGGGAGCAGCCATGTTCCCGAAAGCTTCGCATTACGAAAACGGGGTTAAGATCTGACATCGGTCGTGTGATAAACCATGTGGCTCTGATCCTTAGTATTAGAAAGCCTAGAGACCGTATTTATTAGGGACGTGACTTAATTTCCGATTCTTTTTATGATGATGACGACGACGACGACGGTGATGATGATGATGATGACGATGATGATTAATGTTACGTTGTTTGTTTATTTTCATTTTAGCTGAGAAATGTTTAGACAATGACATCTTGTGTGAAGATCTTAAAGCTCGAGGATACTGTGAATTAGAGGACAGGAAAACGTACATGGCATTCAACTGTAAGAGAACTTGTAACCTATGCCGCAGAAGAATAGGTGAGTCCTGTCCTCTGAAAATCGCGAGAAGAGAGGTGTAGTTAATCTCGTTCCCAGCCGCTATCTCACTTTCGAAGAATAAGATCTGGAAATGAGATTAAGGAACGGAACCGGAAAAATCATTCAAGCGAAGTCAAGAACCAAGAAAAACTCAACTCACGTGTTTTTTTTGTTTTGTTTTTGTTTTTGTTTTCGTTTCTTTCTTTTCTTCACGTTTCACTGGTTCTCTCAAATTCCCGGAAGCATGGGGCGAGAAAGTACGTATCAAAATAAGGAACACTTAGGATTATTTATTTTAGTGAGTTTTTGTATTATTTTATAGCTTTGATTTGATCAACTGCGCTAGGAGCCGACTGCCAAGCAACGATGAAGTCTTACTATCATAATATTTTTTTAACTAAATTTATCCTCGACCAATTAGGGCTTAAAATCGCGTTCATTTATGGGCATGCTTCGTGTGTTCGTCGAGACATCCTTGATTTTTGAAAATTTGAAATTGTTACCGATTGACGAAAATTCTTCTGGTATATTTTTTATTTAATCCTCGGGTTTTTTTCCTTTTTGAATACACTAGCAATGCCTACACCATGTACAGACAAACACAGGTATTGCAAATACTGGGCTGCTCGCGGTGATTGTCACATCAAAGCATTGTTTATGATAAAACACTGCGAACGGAGCTGTAACCTCTGCGACTCAACTGGAATATACGAGATAAGTAAGCAGATATTGACTTAGCCTGCAGTGCAAGCGTTTTCCGTGTGTTCACGAATTAACGATATTAGCTCGCGATCGAGTAGATTCAGCCTGACTCCCACTACCTGGGACGCCTTTTCGTCTCTCCCCAAGCTTCTTCCGGGTTTGAATCCGAGATAGCACTCCCTTAATTAAAATGCGTTCGCTCGCCAAAACACGCCTGCATTGCAGGCTAATATTCACTGATACTCAAGTGGGAGGGTGGAATTAATTATCAGCTAACTTTTCGGAAGTTTGTAAGTTATCGTTTATCACTTTTAAAAATTTCAGCCCATTTCTTGACTTTCCGTAACTTTTCTTTAAAGTTTGCTGTCTCCCGTGACAACGTTTTGCTCGCCTTTTCACAGATACTCCACGTCAAAAGTCGCCATGCTTTGATAAGCACAAAAACTGTCCCAAATGGAGCGACAGTGGTTACTGTGATATTTATTCCAATTACATGTACAAGAAATGCCCGCTCAGCTGTGAAGCCTGCTACCCAGGTACATGTAAACGTAGTCAGGTGATCATATAGTTTGGAACAGTGCTGTGGAAACTTTAGCCTAGCTCGAATTTTTCAAGTTAATTCTCCCTATAAATGTATTTACCCTTGTTACTTTTTTATTGTTTGGCTTTTTCATTTGACAAAATCTTTGTTCTCGAAACGTTCAGTTTTCGAAAATTTCCGCAAAAGTAATTTTACCTTTACGAACTTCAAGCTGATAGTTCCCAAATTGGCGCGCGTCACTTTTCCGCCGATCTTACATAACGGTTTCATTGGAAAATCGTTATTTCATTCATTTAATAGGCCATTTCCGAGTTACTTTGTGCCTCTGTTTCAAAACGATTCCGCGTGGAAAACGAACTGAAGACTCGTTTTGTCACCGAGGCAAAAGGCAACTCGGGAACGGCCAATTAACACCGAACAACTGAGTTTTTTTTTTCTTCGGTTCTAAAGCGTGGAATTTTGTTCTTTTTGATTCCAGAGGAGGAGAATAAATCGGTGGAGCCCTGTAAGAACAAGGGGGATGACGCTAACTGTGAACACTGGGCAGGACTTGGGTTCTGTCAGAGGAGACCTGAAATCATGATTGACAAATGTCAACATGCTTGTAATTCATGTCCAAAAGGTTAGACAAAAGTGGTTAGTTGAAAACCATTGAACAGTTACTTTAACGTTATGAGGATGGGAAAATTATCTGAGCTATTGAACAATAATGGAAACTAAGTAAATAAAAGAGATTCCTTATGCTTTTCGTTAATTTTCTTCCGTGCAGAACCGGTCAAACTTGTACCAGCTGAGCCGAAGGGTGAGTAAATTGTACGGGTTTTTCAAAAGTTCTAGACTCAAGATCTTAAGTCAGGTTGTCCAAGAATGTTCGTGGAGAGCTTACTTTTTAGATCCAATCTATCAAACACGAAAGACCGTGTTTGACCACATTTCCAAACACCGAGAAGAGAGATGAAATTAAGAAGCGCAGCGGAATATTTTTTGACGAATTTCGAGGTATTTCGAAATTCGGTCAAACACTGTCTTGAGTGTTTGATATGTCTTCTTAATCGAAACTAAAACTGAGGAGAAAACGGTGAAATGAAATCGTAAAAAACTATGCTAATGAAAAGTAGAAATTCAAATACCATCACGGTGATGATTTCCTATGTTTAAACCTGATAAATTATTAATGGTTTTAGGCAATTCCTGTATAGCCCAGATGTGAGGCTCTTTGCTCCGTTCAGTAGCCTGTATGAAAACTTCCTTTGTAATTCATATATTTGGAGGACTGTAGCCTGGTTTCTCCACGTTGAGCCCCTTGTGCCCCACGTCTTGCTTTGGTCTGTGGTAACCCTAGACGTCTTAGCCACTAACCTGCACTACTCTTTGTAAAAATGACCTCGCGCGGAATGACTTGATGACTTTTCCTCTTTACTATTCATTTTAGGTATTAAGTGTAAGGAGGCTTGTAAAAAGTGGCTTGAGCAAGGACACTGTTCGACTAGATGGAGAAATCGATGCATCAGGACTTGTTTAGCCTTAGGATGTGATGAGGAACCTGTTAGACCCGCGGGTGAGAACCTGACACAGACTTGTCCGTCTACAGTGTAAACCTGACATAACTAGTATTTGTAGCCAACATTTGTTTATTCTATGGGATATCAATCAGCCAAGTAATCCTTCTATCCAAATACAATTAAGGAAGTGATCACAAACTATATCTTCGAGCCAAAAACGTACAGCATATTCCTGTGCTGTCCAAACTACCGCTTTGATGTTACACGTCGGAAGCGAGCCACGATTGATTGATTGATTGACTGGCCGACTGACTGACTGACGGACGGACGGACGGACTGACTGACTGACTGAAGGAAGGACGGACTGACTGACTGACTGAACCACTGACGGACTGACTTACTGACTGACTGGCACACAGACTGACTGACTAAATGTCTGACTGACTGACTGACTGACTGACTGACTAACTAACAGGCTGACTGACTGACTCACGGACTAACTGCCTGCCTGACTGACTGACTGACTGACTGCTTGATTAATTGATTGATTGATTGACTGACTGATTGACTGGTTCATGTATTGATTGATTGATTGATTGATTGATTGATTGATTGACTCACGGACTGAGTGATTGATTAATTGATTGATCAGTTAGTTGGTTGATTAATAGAATGATTGATTATTGATTGACTAACTGATTGACTGACTGATTGATTCATCAATATCATTGATCGATTGATTGAATGACTGATTCCTTTGATGGATTGATTAACTGATTGATTGATTGATTGTTTGATTATTTACTGGTCATCACAAGTGATTTAAGAATGAAACTGAATGATAAAGGCGTGAAGGAGGCCGCAAAACTGCATTAGCAAGCAGAAAGGTACTTTAGATTGAATTTCTTGTTTATTATTTTTTTTATGTGCCACATAGGAACCTGTTCTCAGCCTCTGGGTGCGGGATGGAACTTCACGCTGCCGGACAGCGCCTTTAATGCATCTTCCAGCTTCTTTTCAGGTCAGTATGGAAAATCAGATGACGCTTCTCTAGACTTGTAATGGTGGAGTCCCTTCCAGGCGTAGCAATGCAATGCTTCTCTTAGGTGTAGCGCGACATGAACAATTGAAGGCAATTCCTTGGTGTTATAAGTGACGTAAATCTTAAGGTTCAAATAACAACAACATTTAACTCAAAATACCCATACCAGAACGGAATTGCTTGAAATTTTCCTTGGAATCTCATTAGAACAGTATTTGGTATTAGTATTTGGTGTTAGTGTTTTTCAGGTTCTAGTCCCAGAAGTCGCTAGGCAGCAAGACAACTCTTGACCTGACGATCCATTTTCCAAACCCTTCGATTGACGTCTTCTATTACTGAACAGACGCACGACAACAAGGAATCTGTTTTATATAAATGATAATGACGTCATCCATGCGTCAGTCCTCAAGTAAATCATAAGTAAAAACCAATCAAAATCATGAGACCTTTCTCCATCCTCCCTCACCCCAGCCACTCCCTCCTCCTCCAGCTTCTACGAGGAATTCGCAGACATCATACCTGTCTGTAAGAGTGACTGCTATCCAATACCGGGGGTATACTGTAAAATTAGTTTGCGGATCTCTACGGTTTCATATCAATGTCACTTAGCTTGCTGATTGCTTCTATTCCAGGTTCGTGGGACTTCGGTGCTTACAACGGTCGACTGTATAAACAGGACGATCGCATTAGGAAGAGAACCGGCTGCTGGTGCGCAAGAAATAAAAAGAAAGAACAGTGGCTCCAAGTGGATCTTGGGAAAATCAAGTTCGTTACAGCTGTTGCCACACAAGGTAAGATAGATAGGGCCTTACCTCGTTTTCATGTGGGTCCTCTTATCTATACTGTTTGAATTGGAATTTGGAGATGTTTTGTTTTTTATGAGGAAGCGACAACCAACAACAAAGTCGACCCACATATGGCACCAGGGCGGAATCGAACCCAAGCCACATTGAAGGGAAGCGTGCGCTCTCACCACTGCGCCATCCCTGCTCCCCTTAAGAAGTCAAGTTAAAACCTATTTTACTGCAATGAAGGCAAATCTTTATAGGTAAATTCGATGATAGTGCTGAATTAATTACATGATGTAATTTTTTTTTTCTTTTCGGTAGGACGTGATAAATATTATGAGCATGTAAAGTCATATGAACTAGCTTTTAGTAAAGATGGACAAAGGTGGAATCGATACAAAGAGAACGGCAGGATTAGGGTAAGCTGTTGATATTCATTGATTTACCTTGATTTGAATTGAACGGGACTTTAACCACTCCAGCTAATTCATTACGCATCACTCATCGGAATCGTTTTTTGTCTCATTTCTCTTCTCAGGTTTTACCGGGGAACTGCGATAACTTTACTCCAGTGGTCAATAGGTTGATTAGGCCAATCCAGGCCAGGTTTGTCCGGTTTTATCCCAGAACGTATAAGAACATTTGTATGAGAGTAGAGGTGTATGGATGTAGCAGGCACAAAGGTAAGGTCCACAGAGAAATGCTGGCAATCAGTGACACGACTTCATGAGTTAAGAGACACGGGGCCGCTGCAAGGGGTCTGAAACAAAAGCTTTTTCTTGTTGTTGCCTTGACCTCAAAGTGATTTCTTTTGTTGTTGATTTCTTTTTGGGGAGCAGGGATGGCGCAGTGGTTAGAGGGCTCGCTTCCCACCGATGCGTCATAAGAGGGTGTCATAAGAGGGTCGAGTTAGTTTGTTGTTTCTCGTCCTTTCTCTGCGGGTTCTTCGGTTTTCCTTCTTCCTCAAAAACCAACATTTTTAATTTCCAATTCGATCTGGAAGCCGTGGACGAGGAGTCTCTCCGTGGGATGTGCCACTGGAAATTCCTATTTGTGGAGTAATTGATTGGTCAATTTATTAATTGTTTATTCCCCTAAACCTCGGCGCTATGTTAGAATTTTAATATATCGAAATTGGTCAATAGCGGAAACAGAATACGTTCCAACCGTTAGAAAATATACTGTCTGTTAATGTAGCATCGTGATTGACTGATTTTGTAAAATTAATTTTTTAAATGGAAAAAAACTAACGTCATTAAACTGTAATAATTGTTCTTTCTTAAAAGAAAAAAAAATAGTTACTGATCTTAGGGTATGTCTCACTCATGTAATAGTAATGTATTTTGTGTGGAGGCGCTGTGGCCTCATGGTTAGTGCGCTCGTCTCAGGATCGAGCGGTCCGCGTTCGAGTCCTGGCCGGGGACATCGTGTTCATTGTTCTTGGGCAAGACACTTTCTCTCATAGTGTCTCTCTCCACCCAGGTGTACAAATGGATACCGGTGAACTTAATGCTGGGAGTAACCAGCATCCCATCCAGGGGGGTGGGGGAGTAGAAATACTCCAGTCGTTTCACGCTACAGAAACCTGGATAAGCTCTGGCTTGATGGGCCACTTGGCTCGGATGCAGACCTTATGAATGATTTTGCAGTTTCCATGCGCCTTCAGCTTGTACTTCTCTACACATGGAAGATATTTTACCTTTGATTTTCCTGGACTTAGAAATGAAGTGAGCAAAAACTCTCCCTTGCAAATATTTCACTATTCACCATCTTCTTAATAGGTTATGAAAAGAAGAAAGCACCACCTCCCGTATTTGGATTACTCTGATGACCGGCAGACGACATCATCGACCTGGAACTCATACATTCGATAGAGCAAGTAGTTCGCACGCGCTGTGGAAATGCTTCGGCCGCTGACTGCCGATTTTGCGGGCGCGGGGAAAATGGCGGGAAAAAGGCGCAGCTCTAAGTATCTGTCACGCAGTCACTAAAGTCTGGTTTTCACTAGCGACGCAAGCACAAGCGCAAGCACAAACGCAAGCAATAGGGATACCCAAGTGAAAACGAAATTCGACGCAAACACAAGCACAAGCAAAATCATCAGAACATTCCAAACTTTTTAGGCGCAAGGTACTCTGGATCCAGTGCTTTCATTGGCCAAACGTAACCACGTGTGGTAAACATTCTTGTGCTTGTGTTATGCCTAAGCGATATTTCATTTTCAGTTGTTGCATCCCAAACGCAAGTATGAGCGCAAGCAAAAGAAAAAGGAAAAATTTGGATCCTTGAGCTTATTCTTACGCTTGTGCTTATGCCTGCCTCAAGGCCGTTTTCACGGTGAAATAAGAATTATTGTACCTGCGCTTGTGCTTGCGTCGCTAGTGAAAACGAGGCTTAAAAGAGAGTCTTAATCGCAACACTAAGATTTTTTCACTTAGTATAGACCTGTTTCAAATACAGACGTAGCATTTTAACGTGCTGTTTCTTTGCTTTATACCACATTATTAAACGTGTTTCATATCATACAAGAAAAACGTTCCACGTGCCTCGTATTTGTGTTTATTTAAAAACAGACTTGCATGTGTTCTCTGTGTGTAGCGCAGACAGAAAAAAAAAACTTCGGGTGACGGATTCACTACGAAAATAAGTATAGTTCCCCTGTTGGTGTTTAAAATAGCGGCTAGTATGTCAAGCAGTGATCCGTGAAAAAGGGACTATTCAGCTATTCATCACCAGGGCCGAGTTGTTCGAAAACCGGTTAACGCTATATTAAACCCACGATTAAAAGTTAATAGAAGTATTAATTTTTCCTGAATAAAAATGTTTATCACTACTTATGTTTTGTGGAGTTTGAGATTTTTCAAACTCAAAACAGAAGGACAAACAATATATAAATTGGCAAACATACCGAAAGGTAACAAAACTTAAATCAAAATTCTCGCTAATCCTGGGATAACTTAATCGGGTTTTGAACAACTCGGCCAGGGTGTGAACGCGTAGTTAAATAAATACTAGTTATTTGTGTTAAATTAAAATAATTGATATTTGAACAATATGTTAGGAAATACTGTAAGCTTTATGTGACTATCCAGAACTTAGCTGTGGTTTTATCCTGTATCATTAGACTATGATTTCTTACCTGTACAAATTGCATTCGTCCTTCGGGCTCGTGCAATTTGGTTAGCCTTTGAAAAATTTACTCGTGCAAATTGCACTCGAAATCATGTGATTACCTATACTAATCACTGGTCGCGAAGGAAATTGTTAGTTTTTTTTCCCGAGAATCTCAATGTTTCCAGAGACCGCGAAGTCGAGGGAAACACCGAGATTCCAGGAAAAACAAAACTTATTGTTTCCTAAGGGACCAGTAATTAAGTGTTTTGTTGTATAGCTGGTGTTAGTGTTAAGTATTAATTACCCCCAGGTCAAAGTGACTTCTTGCTATACTATACTAGTGGGGCAGCGGGTGACATTTATATTTGACCATTGCCTCGTGACCATAAATCAATCAATAAGAGTACGCGTTAGGCAGCGTTGACATTACATTGGAAAAATTTGAGAACGCAGCTTTATTTCTACGGTTGGACCTACCGTCCAACCTAATCCGTCACGAAAAAGGAGCTGGCCAGTGGGTGACTGAGGAGTTTGAAACGTGCCAGCATGTTAGTTGCTTAACCTGTAGTCTCTGGTATGTAGCATCTCTGGAGGCCGCAAAATTCTAAGTTGACGATAAGGAAGGGGAAGGGTGCGGTCTGCGTTAAACGTCCAGATGACGTGAAGTGGGGAACAAGTTAATATGGCGACCCCCCCTAGACTCTGCGGCGATGAATCAGTTGTTTCACTATGACATCCTATTAAACCTCATTGCTGATAAGTCTAAGGTATCCTGTATGTTTACATAACGTTAATTTGTGGCATTTTTGAATTGGTATATTTAATTTATAGTTTAAAAAGAAGTTAACAGTTGGTTAAAATTACTTTTCATAATAAGCAACCGCAGTAAGAAGTCTTCAGTCATTATTTGCGACCAAACATGAGTTTTAAGTACTGTAAATTGCAGTATATTTCATTAATACTTATCTTAATTATGTTCTTGTCGAGTTCCAACAATTGTAACCGCTGGCGGCACACATCTCCTGCTTGTAATATTTTTGCAAGGCAAGGCTTCTTTTAGCATTTCAGGCGTCTACTTTTGACTCAAGGAGACGGCTGAAATTCAGGCAAGGCTTCTTGCCAATCTAGCAACATATACCAAAGCGATTTTTTTCAGTTTACAAGCCGTATTGTATCGTGACCTGGTTAGTATTTTCACTGGTTACGAATTGAAATTTTATTTTGGGGCATACAGGTGATCTTAACTGAAAAGGTCCCGAGCCTCTCTTACTTTGCATGCAACAACGTGCTTTTACGTATTTATGCAAAAAAGGGATCAGACCAATCTTTAGCCATCTTGACAAAACAAGACGGCCTCAAGAGTCCTCATGGGCCCGATGAGGATGAGTGAGAGAGTGTTGGCGAAACAAGCTTGGCCATAAAAGATTTAGAACATGGCATATCCGTTCGCGGAGTAAGTCACATATAGTTACGAGTTAAAGATAATTTTTTGAGAGAATGTAGTTATTATTGCATAATGGGGTACATTTTATATGGCTTGGTTTTATGCAAAACTACCCATTTTTAACGTTATTATTTTCATTGTTACCAAACTTGTAGCGGGTACGTTATTCAATTCTACCTTCCATGATGTGCATTTGATCTGCACGATATACACCGGGTGATAAGTAGTATGTGCTTGAGACGATATCGGGACATGATATTATCATGACACAATGATATCAAATGTTATATAATTGGTTAAGAAAGCAGGAAATAACATAGGACGTCAATTTTAGGGTTGTTATTATATACATGTGGTATGTTTCTTATCTATTTTTGCAATTCAGTTCTTTAACGCTTTCGTATTTTATTAATCATTCGTACGACAGGAAAACGTGGCAACTATTTACATGTCCATGTTAACCTTAGTTAGGCTTAAAAAATAAATAAATTTGCAATTTTTTAAAACTGGAAGTAAATGTTGACTTTTATTACCACCGAGGCTTTATCACTGGTTTGAACTTTTCAAAGATTATATGCAGGAAACTCTCAGTTTCGTTTGTTGAGAGTATGTCATGTTTGTTCTAACTAGTGGGTCACGCACGAGCGAGAGCATTTTAAACCAATCACAGCTCAACTTGGCTAGTTCAACACAACAACAGATAACCGTTCCACGGAAAGAGAGAACAACGCGTTCTTTCTCAATTTTATTAAGGAAGACTGAATGGTTTTTCATTGTAGTATTTCATACTAGGAAACTCAAGAAAAGCACGCTTGTACTGCGGCAATCAATTGGTTTATATCGGCAATGTGTTGATCATCGTGAATGTAAGGTATCTTCTCCGCCGGCTATCTTTGCCGTACCGCTATAAAAGACCCGTTCGATAGCGCGTAAAAAAAAAAAACATTCAATCGCTATGCAATGCCATGGATAATTCTGATCCAAGCAATTGATTGTAAGCCGTTGGGACCCACCAGTTAGGCCTTAACATCGCACCCCATCCGCAACACTGTGGGGTTTGAAGCTTAAATGACGTTTCGACCTTCCCGGATGAGTAATTCTCAGCAACCGCTGTACATAAAGGCGCGAGATACCGCTTGACAACGACTATGGCAAAGTGTGTGGAGACTGCCATTTTGATTTTTACACGTTCCGATTGCGCGAAATTTTAAAGTTCCCGCGAAAATAAGTAACTATAAGGCAGGCGTCTTCCTTAGCTTCGCAACGAGTTCATTGGTACCATACCGGGAACGCTATGTAGTCAAATAAGGATGCCATGGTGCTATGGCTTTTGCAGACGTTAGTTCCTTGGGTTCAAGTTTTGTGCCGCTTTGCAACGAGAATGGTTATCTGTAAGAACTGTGAGGGATCTGGTAATTTTGAGGGGTGCATTGCATGACGGGAGATGACGTTCACGAGACGGAAAGGCTACGTAACAAACGGTTCTCGTGACGAATCATGGGAATAGATGGCCAACCAGTCCGTGCCACGACATCACGTGACAAAATTGTTGTTGAACAAGGCCAGCTCACCCGACAGCGCTGAAGGAGGAACGACTTGAAGCAACGTTATGGCTAGTTTAGTCTTTGATTCGCCTGTTACTTTAGTTGTGAAGACTCCTAACCAAAAGGTGGACGATTTGAGGATAGACTGTGCTTTAGAGTGGTCAGTGGAACAACTGAAAAGGCATCTTTCGAGCGTTTATCCAACCAAACCGGTAAAGATTTGACTTCCGCTTACGGCGTTTGGAGCTTCTTTATGTTTAAACAGGTGAACTTTATACTGATTGTGACTTGCTTCTGTTTCAAGGAAAGCCAGCATCAGAGAATCATTTATTCAGGGCAGCTACTGAATGATAATTTAATCCTGAAGGATGTGTTTCGCGAGGTAAGCAGCTTGAAATTACGCTGTATCGAGAGTAGAGATACGAATAGTTTTCAATTCACGAGGTTGTAAAAGCCACTGTAGTCATTTTAGTTCCTTCATTTGGCTGATTTCGGCTAAGTTTAGGCTGTGAATAAGTTAATTGTTACTTTCATTTCCACGTTATATTGAAATCCTAATTCAAGGGGGTTTTGTCAATTAAAACCGCCGAAGAATGAAAAATTAAATGACTACCCATGACGCGAGTTACCCAATAAATATTTGTGATCTTTTTCCAACATGTTCGAGTTTTCATGCAAACACGTCAGGTATTTACTTGTTTCGTTGCTTATTTGGTGCAAAATGTTTTCTTTCTTCTTCGCCGCGACACGGGTTCTTGCTGCTTCCCAATTATAAGTGAAGGTTCCTTTAAGCAGATTGGTGTCGAGATACATTGTACACATAAAAATCGCAGCAAGAACTATGGGCGGTCTAATCCTTGAGTGGAAAAATACAGCTGTTGAAATTGAACAGAACTGATTTCTATTCAAGTTGAACAAATGCATAAATTGTGAAGCTCACATTCAGTATTTTGATCAGAGGGTTAAAAAATTATCTTCTAAAGTATTTGTTTGTTCGTCTTATTTTTTTTGCCATTTATGAATATACTGTACTTACGGAATATCAATGTATAAGGCAAGGAATCCCAGGAAAGGTTTATGTAAAGGACGGCCTTATTCAAATTACCAATGATCTTATTATTAAATTTGTTAGTATGTAATTAAAATGAAAAGAAGAGAAAATCAGTCACTAAAATGCCTGGCATTTCATGATTAAGAGCACACATGGCACACAAGTGAAGGAAAATACAAGTCGAATACACTCTGTGATGTACCTTTTGGACCATTTTGCCTTGCACAAACTCAAGTTGCCGTAAGTTGTTTATTATGTCATAGGCGGCACAGCAAAGGGGCAGTGGGGGTCTCTATTCCCCCCAAACAAAAATTTGGGGAGTCCCCCCCTCAACGGGTTGGTGCAGAAAATATCGAGCTAGCACAGCATAAAATTGGTTTGACAAAATATTCCGTTTCGTGATCTGCCCGATGTACGTCAGGTTACAAATATACATGTAAGAACCTTTTACGAAGCTCTGAGCAAAACTCCTGTCACCAAAATGCTACTAGGAGAGGTCCATAAACTGTGAAGATTGTATTTGACATTACACTATAAACTGTACCTGTGTCATCTGCGACTTTTAAAGACTAAAAATCTAAGAAGCACCAGGAAGCAGGATGACCTAAACACCTCCCTTCTGCTGCATTGTCATACATGTTACAGACACATTGAACTCTGTAGATATTGCAAAGGAGTTTGTTTGTGCAAATGAACAACACAAGAGACATACTGATTTTGGAAAATAGGAGTAGAGGTATGCACTTGGCTTAATGATGAGGACCCCCTCCCCCTCCACCCTGCATGTTTCAAAATTCTCCACCACCTCTGTACATGTATTGTGCAGTGTAGTCCTACAGTATGAAGCATTGTCACAAGCATTACAAAAGGTGAAGTTNAATTCTCCACCACCTCTGTACATGTATTGTGCAGTGTAGTCCTACAGTATGAAGCATTGTCACAAGCATTGCAAAAGGTGAAGTTTTAATGTTATTCTTATTTTTCAGACAGTTTTTATCACAACAAAATTTGTCACAATTTTCTGAATTATTTCAAATTATTATAACAATGCCTTTCATACATGTACACGGCATGAAGAGAGGTCTACATGTATGTACACATATCTTTCTCAGGTTTATGCCATAATTCAGTAGTGCTGCAACGATACATGTACGTGTACATGTACACCAATGCACTGGTGAATCATGATATTATGATATTGTGATTGTCATGAATAAAAAATTCAACATTCAGAAATAGCTGTTTTCTATGACTCCTTACCCAAGTCTAAGCCCTTTTAAAGCAATTTATTAAACAAAGGCGCCAGGGGAAGGGGTAAAAAGGTCCATCTTTGCTTCATATTGCTTTGCTTGCTTCCGGTCATGTTCAGTTGCAATTAGTTGTCTGATGACACAGTCTTGCGCACTCGCGGACAAAACACGTGGTTCATCCATTCATGGTTTGTTATAAATAGAAATAATGATTTCAAAACAGTTAAGTAAGAGCAAGATTATGTCACCTGTCAGTTGTATGTAATGATGTACGTGTATCATATCGTGTATCGTATCATGGCACTTGTATCGAGATAGGCATCATATTGTGAGGAATTGTATCATTGCAGCCCTATAATTCAGGCACATGGCTCTGTGAGAATCATTTTGTCATTGTTCTAAGCACACTTTTGGTTAGCTGTTGAATTATAATTATAAGTGGTTTCCTTATCTCCCCAGGAAACAAAATGAAGATCTGCATAAGGCATCATTTTTATCTTTCAAACGTTGCATGACAACAACGTCATTACATGCTACAAATGTACAGTTATTGTCTACTCAAAATTTTGTTGTTTGAACTATCAACAGCATGAAGATGGAAAACATCACACTGTGCATCTCGTGTGTCCAATGAAGATGGAAACCAAATCAACTGATTCACAAGCAACGGTAAATTATGTCACCTCATAGAATTTCTAATACTTTTGTTGATTGTTGTGTCACTTTTATCATTCATTTTAGATACCTTGTAACCTTGATATTAATGAACTGAGATATGGTGAAATTCTAAAAGAGATAAGTGGAGATTGAACATGTAATTGTTTGCACCACATCAATTATTGGAGGAGCTTTTGCAAGGCAAATTTATTGCAGTCTTCCTCTGCACATTGTTGTCCAGCCAACCACAATCCCAGTGAAGGTGTCACTGGCTTGTAAGTGTTTTGACAGTACAGCCCAGTGATACAAAGTATTGTATCACCTATTGGCTACACTGTGAAGACTGACGATATTTATTTATAGCTTGTTATTATTTTATTTTCAGAAGGGGTCCAGTACTCCTACAACAAGCAGTGGTGCTACAACTACTGAAACAGCGCCCACCACACCTGTTACACCACAAACAACCACTGATGGATTGCGATACAGAGGGGCAAATACACCTACCTATCCACAGTACAATATGTACCAGTAAGTGACTAATTTCCAGTCAGAAGCTATTCCAAAACTTAAGACAGCAATACTACATGTACGTGTAATTAAACATTGAGTTGAAAGCAATTTATTAGTTAGGGATCCAAGCATACAGGTGAACATGTACTCTGATTGCCATACTGGCTGCCAGGATGGCAAGTAGGCTGCATATTAGTGGAGGCAACTGAAAGCTGAAACTTACTAGCCCACTGGGCAAATAGATTTCAATTTCTTTTTTTTTCCTGCCCTGAGTTCAGTGTTAAGAAGCCATTAAAAAGTGCATGGTTTTAATGAAGTTTGAACCCATGCCCTCTTCACCAATACCTTGAGAGCCACATGCATTGGCAGTATTACAAAATATGGCTTGGACACGACCAGCAACTCCATCTTTAATTAAGCAAAATTTATGTGTGAACTTTTATCAAAACATTCTTCTGTTGTAGCCAGCAGATGGCCAATGCCGGTTATAACCTTCCAGCCCAAGGACATGGCTATGTTATGCCACCATTTGTACCACCTCCCTACTGGATGCAACAAATGTTTGCTCAGCAGATGGCAGCCGGAAGAATACCTCAACCAAACATGTACATGCCACCCAATTAGTAAGTGACTTGTGTTTTAGGCAAGGCTTTTAACCCAGTAATTTCCTGTAGGAAAGAAAATGGTTTGATCATGTCAAAACTCTGATTGCTCTATATATTCGAAGTCAAGCACACTGTAACTGTGCACATGTTGGAACTTGACAATTTACTGCAATTGCGGTAGCTTTTGGTTTTGGCTTTGTAGCAGAGCTCCTGCACGCCAAAGGTGCTTGAGTGGAGCCCCATACCTTAGAAAATTTGGTAACCCATCGATCTAAAAAATTTGGGTTTTCATGTGACTGTCGTACAAACGTACGTACATGTATGTCCATGCACCAATAACTTGAAAAATAAGAGAGTAGCACCAATTACCATAGCTACATGTACATATTTGATTTTGGGCATCCATGTCATGGTTAATTGACAGCTGTCAAAACAAACCATCCGCTGACCAGTATCACATGACCACATTGTGTGCTCAGGTTTAGAGCTCATCGAGGTCACATGTTTTTTTTTTTAATTTGATGCTGACCTGGGACTTGTTTTTCAATTGGATCGCAGGCTCAAGTCAGGTTATTACTCTGCTGGAGAAGGAAGGAGTACATGCAAAGGCAAAATTTTGGTGCAAATTAACCCCTGGCGCATTGTTGACTTTTCTTCTGACATATTCCTTGCACAATTGTCTCTTGGAAAATCCCTGATATATGGCATATGTAATTTCTACAATTTTGGTTTTGCTTCTTGGGTATAGTTTGTTAAAATGTAACAGGCAAAAAAACAGCAAAACCACAAGCTGAACAATTACATGCCCACAATCGATCATTTTTCCAAGAAAAACAAATCCTCTTGTTCCTTTATGTTTAAATGTAGTTATTACAATGGAAGGCTTTCGTGCAAAAAGGGGTATGTACCATTTTGGGTCGATTTTTATTTTTTGCAGGATAAAGCTAATTTTTGGCAGACTGACTTGTTTTGACATGAAAAGCATCGTTGTGTCATTGTTTTTGTTGATTTGCACTTCGTTTTCGAGAAATAACGTATGCAAAAAAACTCAGTTTTCTGAGCTGCATCTTTTGGAGTGAATCCTTCGAAGGTGGATTTTGAGGCAGCGCGAACTTAAACGGTTACGTTTAGCAGCTTGGACAGCGTGATTTTTTTAAAATAGATGTTTTGATTTTTGAAACAANAATTTTTACCATGGAGTAGCCACGTGTAGTCACAGGAAATTTTGCTCTGAGTTTTTCACTCAACTTTTTGAGCATTTTTTTGCGCATATTTCAGGCTCCATTGAGCTGATCACCATGATCTGGGTATCATTGGAAAGATCTTTTCCTCCTGAAGAAGTTGAGCATAGATGATGCCAATTTTGGTCAAAGGAGATGACGTCAGAAGTGGAACAAAGGCCAAGGCTTGTTACAGCTGGTTACGAGCAGTATGGGAGTCAATGGGTTAAGCATGTAAACATGTCACTTGGGTAAAGTTTTAGTTTATAAACTTTAAAATGTTAAACCCTTATCACAATCATTACATTCATAACTAAAATTACATAAACTGTACATACCACCTATGAGCCCATACAATATGCAATGGTTGTGAAGTGTCTTTGTCAAGCTATAAATGAACGTATTTTAAAAAAACAGAAATAATTGATATTAATATTTATTATTAATAATGGAATATATTTACCACATAAGTCCAAAATATATATTAATAGCATTTGTGACAAAAATGCTGAACAGTAAATCATTGGGAGATAAAGTTATAGTAATCCCAATAAGTTGAAAATTTCATCAGTAATTGAAGGCTTTCATGCAAAAAGGCGTATGTACCATTTTGGGTCGATTTTTATTTTTTGCAGGATTGAGCTAATTTTTGGCAGACTGACTTGTTTTGACATGAAAAGCATCATTGCATAATTGTTTTTGTTGATCTGCACTTCGTTTTCGAGAAATAACGTATGCAAAAAACTCAGTTTTGCAAGGGTATCTTTTGGAGATCTTTTGTTGAGCGAAAACCAAAAGAAACCTTTGTTTTGCTAAACGATGAAGTCACC